CCCTGATTTTTATCGAGAGTTTTCTTAGGTGACTTCGGTCATTTAAGATGTAATTAACTATAGGGGCTTGCCCTTATAGAGAGCTTTTCCGAGCCCAGCTTAAAATAAACCCTATTTAATTATTTGTATTAAATAGGGGAACTTGTCGGCAAATAAAACGGTTTCGCAGACCCAAACGGATGTCATATCTTTCTTAGTTTATTTGATCGAGCCTCACCCTCAAGTCTTGTGTTTATCCCTTGGGGTAGATTCAGGATTTGAGGTTGAGTGCTCTTTCATTTAAACTGTGAAAAATATGAGGTCAGTTTGATTTCATATTTTTCTAAAATTATATATATATACGTAAATTAAAAAGTCCTTCCGAAGCGGGTGACGGGATTTCGATTCCGGCTGCCGACAGCTTCTTACGGGCGACCCCCAAACATTTAAACTCTTTTCCCCCTTTTAAGCGCCGACAGTCGGTACGTCCCCTTTGCTTCACTTGGGGGGGGTTGGGATCAAATCCTGTGCAAGACAAATATATATATATATATATTCCCCACGTAGTGGGATTAAGGCTTTGTTGTTGTTGTTGTTTTTGTATGCTTGAAATGCAAGTTTATTTCATTGCCAAACTATCTTCCGGAACAACCAAAAATGTGGTCTATTTGGTTCATTTAGTTTGTGCAGCATAGACTAGTCTCATATGTTGACCGCTGATTTCAAAGGTAAAACCCAAATAAGCACGACATTTGAAAAATAACCAACTCTTTAATCTAATATCCCATTCTTCACTGCTTTTTTTTTTTTTTTTTGAAATTGATTGTATAAAAAAGAAAACTGTGGCAATTACATAGGTGTTGATTTCATGCTTAAGTTGTACAGATTCAAAATTTCAAAAAAGTCGTATGAATTGCTCAAGGTAAGCTTTGACGAGCAGTAGAATGACTTTTATGCTTGTAATACTTCTGTCCATGATACTGGTAAGAACTGTTCGAAGAAACTGCGTTCTTTAAAAGCACTTTTGTGCCTAATAGTCAGGAAAAAAAGCAAAATCTTTTTTTTTTCTGAAAAATATTCTTGTTTTCATTTTTAATTTGTAAATATTTTATTATTTTTTATATAGTGCAACCTGATCTATTCTGCTCCTCCATCTGAATATGATGTGGGAGATCTATTCAATGCACCAGAGCCCATCATAGAAGAGCCTATACTTGAATTAGATCCTGTTACAGCTGCAATCTGTATGATGTCAAATTGTGAAGATGTTATTTCTGCTGAGGCAATGAAGGTTGAAGACATAGAGTCTATTCGAAATGAGCATCTCTTCAGTGAAGTTTTCTATGACTGCAAAAAGGAGCTCCTGGAGAAATCAGCTATCAAAGATTCTTTTCCTGAGCCGCCAAATTATAAGTTACCTGCAGTGCATGTAGAAGATGATCCTGGCATAGAGATGGATAGTTCAGTTTCTGGAGGGCAATTGCAGAAAAGTGTTAGTTCTGGATGCTTGAAATTAACTGAGTGGACTCAGGACAGCCCTGTGAAGCTAAAGTTAGATGGATTACATGAAGTGAATCTTGAAGATGCATATGGGATAAGGAGGACATACAGTGAGGGAGATATTCATGTAAGACCATCCCTTTATTTATTTATTTATTTTTTCAGTTTACTTTTGAAAATTTGCTTTGCCATGATTTTATGAAAACAATAACTAAAATAAACTAGCCATGTTGGATTTCAAATATGCATTTAGACATTCAAGATTCTTGTTTCTTGTTAATTAACCAAATATGTCATCATTCTTATTAGCAAAACAAGGGGCTTTGAAAACTCACCCAAGTGTTTGAGTTAGTGTCGAGTGGGAAACTATGGAGTGCTGATCTCACAATGTCTCGTCGACCGTTTCATCCTTCTGGAGCTCATTTCCTATAGATTTTATGTTTCATAGAACGTTGAAACCAAGCATTTATTATTGACACCTTGTTTGCTCTGTGAAAAAAAAATTGACTTGGGCTTATTGTATAAAAAATGATCTTAATTTATTAGAACTAAATGAAAAGACACTAAATAGGACACAATGGAGAAAAAGGATTCATGTAGCCGACCCCGTTTAGTGGGATTAAGGCTTTGTTGTTGTTGTTATGTTGCTACTCCCTTTTTTTAGCCTTCAGTAAGCGTTATTTGACTAAAGGTTATTTGACTAAAGAATATTGTACTCTGATACTTGATTGTCATTAAAAGAATATATTTGAAGTTTTCCTTAGATTATGGAAAGCTTCAAGTAATTGGGATGAGGTTGCTAGGGATTGCAATGGAGTGTGAATAATGACAATCTAATTCTAATGGGTATCATCAACATCACTATTTTGATTTATCTGACTCTGTAGGATTGTTGGCTTAATGACATAACTCTGTTAACATGTGAGATTAACTTTATTTTGCATGTATGTTTTAAAAAACCTATTAAACATGAGCTCATTGTTCACGAATATCTTGTGTTCGGCTCGTTCGTTAAATAAACGAGTTGAACACAAACAAATTTTTTAAACTCAAATTACAAACAAGTCGAACACAACGCTCGTGTTTGGCTCGTTTTAGCTCGAAATAAATAAATTATATATATTACTTAAATAGAAATATATTATGTATATTATTTATATAATAATATACTATATCTATTATTTATATAATAATAAATTATATATATTTATATCTAAGTTTGAATCATAATTTCTCATTTGGTCATGTGGTTTTGCGTCTTCTATTGCACTAAATTATTGAAGGTTCGAATCCGACACCCTGTCTATATCTATTTTATCCACTTAATTTTATTGGGTCAATTTCAAACCGAACACAATCTGAACACGAACAATAATATTTAAATCGAGTCGAACACGAACACATCATTCACGAGCTGATTCAAACACGAGCAATTTTGAACGAGCCAAGCTTGAGCTCGCTCAAACTCGTCTTGTTTACAACCCTACTTTGATGTACCTTTTTTATCCATTCATTTCACCTAAAGTGTAAGATGCCTCAAGAAATAGGATTTAATATTCAATTCCAACATATAACAACCCAAAAAATCACAAGATGCAAGCTATTTATCTTAAACAATTATTTGATATTTTCATGGAAATTAAAAAAATATGAAAATCCAATTCCGATAATAGTTTATGGGGTTCTATTAAAAATTAATCAGAAATGATAAATTAAAGAATGATTATATCAGAGAAACGATTAGAATGATATTTATTCTAGATAAGTACTTGCAATTGAACTGGGGTTAAACTGTGAACCACATAGATGGGTAAATAAAATTATTGTCTTAATTATAAAGGAGTAGGGATAAATCTAAGGTAACATGGATAGGAGATTTCCAAAATGATTTATAAAGAATAGATTTAAATGTCAACTAATACTTGGCAAGAAAAAAAATTAGGATTCATAAAGTTGACCCTAAATAATTGAGATTGTGCTAATGATGGTAAATTAATGATCATGAGAAACACATAAATGTTTGAAATTTCAGACAATAAATCTAAATTATGATAAATTTGGCAAAACACAATCTCGCTTTCAACCAATAAGAAAAAATGTAGAAAAATAAGAAATAAATGGGGAGAAAAAAATGGTAAAGAAGAAACATATTAGCCTCAGCCCTCATGTTATTACGAGAAGATGATCTCTCCTAGAAATTTTTAATTCTCAATTTTTTTGAAGTATTAAAGTCCCATAATAGGTGAGAGGAATAGCCTCCACATCTAGGATAAGAATTATACTTAATATTATAAATTTTTTTATATGACTCAAATCGTTCATATGTATAGATGGAAAAATTATAAATTACTGATAAATTGTTAATGAACTAGTAAATTTCTAACAAACTATAGACAAAATACTAATAATTTAGTTACTGGCAAACTACTAACAAATTCGTACAAAATTGTGGAAAAAATTTAATGGTATTGCCTAGAATAATGCTTCCAAAAATAAGGAAATCTAAAATACATAAAATAATTTAAATATTCACGAAACAGCAAAAATTCTAATTTTATGCACATCATTTATACTCGACATGGATAAATTCGATTATAATGAGTTATTTACTTGATAGCCTTTCAACAAATGTGAGATGCGAGCTTAATTTAGTCTCTAAAATTGAAATGGTTCTCTGACCCTTTGTTGGGCCATTTTAATCCTATAGTTTATGAAAGTGTTAATTTAGTCTCTATACTCTTTTATATTGGTTGAAATAGTCTCATTTTGGACTATTTTAGGCCCCATTGAAAGAGTTGAATCACTAATTTAGCGTTCTTATAAACTCTGGGACTAAAATGACCCCATGTAAATTGTTGATGGACTATTTTGACACTAAAAATATCTCAGATTTATCGCCTACTTAATTAAGAAATGTTTGATATCCACTGTCAGTAGTGGACTTTTTTCCCTTCACTATCAATAGCTTCAAGAACATGATCAACATGAACCTCTTGGAAATGTTTAGATGGTATGCCTGATTTGGAACTTGGAATGATTGGAATAGAGAAGAATTTAAAGTATGGTTGATACTCATGATATAAAGAGCAATTGGATGCATTGAAATTTTGGATATCAATAATTTTTGGTATTTCCAATTAAGCATTCAGCATAGGGGTTTTACAATTTTATATGACCTTACTTTTCTAGTCCTTAATTTTTTTTGTAAGTTTACCTGTAGGAGACCTTTCATGATTGGTTGTTAATGCATGCTATAGATTGAATTCCACGTACTGTCAATTCACTTTTCCAATAAACGTATATTTATCATAGATAATAATCATTTATTTGTGATTAATTTCTTACACATCATGCATGTGACGAATGGATAAAAAAATAAGATTTGATATATGTAATTGTAATGCTAAAACATTTATTCTTTTCCTAGGAATTCTTTCCAACTAATTCTTGTAAACGAAGAAAATTTATGTTTCTTAAGCTTCATAATGATCGTACTAATAACTAGCAAATCATGCAAGTACAAAGTTAGGGAAAAATATATTTAAATAAAAATAAACCCAAATGACTTGAAAATTAGTCATGATGAATTTATAATCTTGGATATAGCCAAATAGATGAAATTTTGATTTTCATATTATCTTTGAAGAAGTTATCTTTGATAAATTTATGCATTTGTTGAAAATTTAATATCCTTAATAATATTTTTGTTATGAATAAGCAAGTCAAGAAACCAAGAATTAAAAATAAATTTGATATAAATTTGTTTATTGTTATAAGGATACCATCAACCTACAGTCCCTTCGGATTTACAATATCAATTAGCTTAATTGATTCCGCAACTTTTACAGGTTGGATTTGTTAATTTCGCGGTCAACAATTTATTCTAATTTTATTTCATGATTTATATTTTTTATGATCACAAATTCAACTCTAAATTCATGTCTTAGCCCTTAACTTTATGTTCAGGTCCTTTGGACATGTCATAGCGCATATATTCTGGTGCATGTTCAAATTTAACAAAAAAAAATAAACAATTATATTTTGATTAGAAATCTTTTTTTTAATCTAGTTCACCATTTAAAGAGTATTCTTGTGTTGAATCCTTTTAAGATGACGAGTTCCGTATTGTTCGTGAGTCAATAAAACTCGGGAGAAACCAAGGAAGGTAAAGGAAGAGAATGGTTGTGTTCTAAAGGCCTGTATTATGTCTTCACTATATGACTTTTCTCTGGCAGAGCGGAGAGGATGATCTAACGAGCAAAGATCGAATGAGAGAGAAGGTGTTTGAGACCTCATTAGAGAATCACGGAGTGGGATCCCTTAAAATGTTTCGAAGAGTTGATCCACGATCCTCCCCTTGAGGTCTTTGGAAAGGCCCCAAAAAAGAAAGAAAGAAAGACAGTGAGAGAGAAAAATAGTGATCTAGCTACTCCTTTTTCTTCTTCTCCATGTTTTCTCAGGAAATCCATAAAATATGGTCTCAGTCTCTCAAGTTTGCCCATAAAGTCTTGGTAAAAAGTCGCGATTTGGATGTCAGGCTGGTCATAAGTGAGGATGTGGCATATGCCCTTCTAAGGGTGTAAACTAGTAGAGTCAAACTCAAGTCATGCTAAGCTTGAGCTCGGCTTGTCTGTTTGTGAGCTCGAGCTCTACTCGCAGTGGTGGTAGCCGGCTCGCAAGCTAAAACTAAAAATTGAATTTTTACAGGAACTCATCGAAGAAGGTATTGGTGGTCGGAGGAGGATGTAGCGTAGCTCACCGAAAAATGCATTGAAATGACTAGTGGTAAGTTTATTGAGCCGGCTTGCGAACCAACGTACTTGAACTCAAGCTCGTTTGATAAACTAGATCAAGTTTGAGCTCAAGCTCGAAACAAGCTGGCTTGCGAGCCAGCCCGACTTATTTACGCCCCTATGTGCATCCCAAATATCAATCTTAACTTTTGTGTTATGTTAATTCCAAGGACCGCTAATGAGACAAACTTGGTAGAAGAGGCTGATCGATCGATTAGCTAGATGAACTCGGCAAAGATTGGTTCAGCAAGCCAGCTCGTTAGCTTGTACAAAATTGATTGCATTTCGACGAGCGAGGTCAGTAGGTTACCTTAGCAAACTATGTTTTGTGATAGTTATATCCTCCAGGTAATGGGCTTATCAAGCCCATAAGGCCCACAGTGCTCGTACTTTAGCCCAAAAAATGTTGGTTTTTGGTATACATCATGATTTATGGTTTTTTTTTTTTTAATGAAACCAAATTTAAGGTATGGTATGGGACATTTTTTCATAGAAACATTTATTAAAAATGTATTAATCCTAATAGATGAAGTTCTAATTTTTTTCAATTTAATAGATATCTTATATCTCAAGTTCATATTTAATTGTACAGTATATCCATTAGCTTGTAGTGATAAGTAATTGAAAAATTAAATTGTGTTCTCATTTTCTTCGAAAGAGCTTTTCAGAAGTAGCTTATGAATTTTACGCCTATTTGAAGCAATTATATTCAACAACTTGTGCAGTTTAACCACTTCATTAAAATATTGTTTAACAATATAAGATGCGTTAATAGCTTTATGGCATTGTATCAGATAAGCTATTAAAAAAATGATCTGCTGCTATAAAATAGAATAATGCTTTTCAATATTTGGGGTAAACCCACAAATTTAAACTAAAGTCTTATCATGATTTATATGGAATCGGTAATGTTTATGAAACTTTATTTTATGTTCTGTACTTTTGGCATATGTAAGAGCCTTCTATTGTAAAATGTTCCACATTTCTTTTTAGACTTTGCCACAAATTGTTATTTTCAATCATTGCAATATTTTATCCCTACCAAAATGTGCAATATTACACCAACATATAATTTTGTAATTAAAAGTCTCTCAAAGTGAATCAGGAATACAATGATGAGTAGCCTCGAATCGCAGATGTTTTATATACGATTGGTGTGATTTCAACTAATTTATTCAGGTCCAATACTTAGTTCTATACATTTTAAGTTGATGGAAACTATTTTATACTCTTCTTGCTTCACCACTCTATTCCTACAACTCAATGGCCCTCACCTGTATCATACAAGGTCATGAATTCTTATAATACCATTAAGAAATTTATATGATATTATTAAATTTGCATTATCCTTTGATGCACATGTTTAATATATCAGATTAATACCATTTTCAATTTATATAACATTAGTGCATATTTTTTGCAGTAGAATATCTCTCTTTTATTAATGAATTTTTAATAAACCATTTATGATTTTTAAATATTACATGTTATTTTAAAATGGTATTCACCATGATGTGATATGCATTGTGGTTGCGCTGGACTTTTGTGCTATGTTGTGTTATTCACGATTTACAGATTTGTTTTGGACATTCCAAACCTAAATATTCTTCTTTGTTTATATCATTATCTATCAACATTATTAATCCTATGCAATTTGTTAAAAAATAAATTTAAATAATGAAAATTGCAATCATAAAAATATTTTTGTTTGAGTATGCACTGATTAAAGCCGACCCCACGTAGTGGGATTAAGGCTTTGTTGTTGTTGTTGTTGTTGTTGAGAATGTACAGGTTAATATTTTGTTAATAAATTTGCTAAGCTATTGCCTGAAGGTGGTGTAGTATTGGTTTTAAACTAAAGTTATTGTTTTTAAGTCCACTCGAAAGTTCATATGATGGGCAATTATGATGCAAACAAAAATTAAATGCAAGTCCTTGAGCTCAACTTTTTAAACCACTACCAATCGGATGTTGCCTATCCTATGGATTCGGGTATTTTTACTAGGCCACTCATGAAGGTCAAACAGCTAGGGCCTGTAATAGTTGAACTTCTAGGCTTAAAGTCGGGCTAACTCAGCCTCGCCCTTTTGAAAGACCTACAAGAATCTTGCAATATATTTTCAGGGTTGAGCTTTACCCAAGATGTGAAGGAGGTAGATTTTCTTAGGCATGAAAAAAAAACCAAAATGCTTCACTTGATTCATTAACACTTGTCTGAGCATTATCTAATTAGATGCAGCCAAACAATGTGTATTTTTAAAACTTGACCTGATTTTTTTGGGAAGACTTCAAATACATATCGACCCTTATTACTCCAAGGTTACTTCATTTTATTTTTTTATTTTTTTATTTTATTTTTTTGGTTTAAATTCTTTGTTATAATACAGACTGGTACCATCATGTGTATGAGCTAAGTTGGAAATAAATGTATAATCATTGATTAAAAAATTGTCTGATCAAATCTTGGTATACCAAGTTCATGAGATAGATGACCAAATTCCTTTATGAAAGAGGAGGCAGATCAAACGAGTAAAGAAGGAACTCAAACTAACAAAAGGATAGGGGAGAATTAAAATCTTCCATAGCTCCTTAAGAAGATTATATGAGATGATAAATTAACTTTCTGCTTGATTCTATATACATATCCGAGGTTCTTAGTTATTTTCTGGATTTATATTGGATGTCATTGGATTTTTATGTTTTTGTGACAGACTCTTAGAAATTGTAGATCAAGCCTTGGAGACAAAGCCACTGTTCATTCCTCTTTTGAACAACTTGAACTTCGTGACTTGAAGATTGAAGAAAAATTGATTGAAAATCGGAAGGAAAAGATTGACAGATACATGAGGAAGAAGACCAGGAGAAATTTTGGCAGAAAAATCAAGGTAATCATATTCTCTGTACTATTGCTTCTGATACAAGGAAAAAACTTGACATAAAATTTTGTTCGTTTGCATATTGATTGAAAACTATATTGATTAGACGAGTTTCATTTAAATTTTTTTATATTAGATTCTTTAATGAGAAACAGTTACAAATGAATTGACCCAATTTAGTTGGAAATTGGATTCTACAATGATTATTTAAGTTTCAAGTTTTGATGATTTTTATGTATCGTTTATTTGTCAATGGAATTATGTCATCTGGGGAACTATATTTTGATAAATTATTAAATATTTTACTTGGCTCCATCCAAAGCAATGCAATCCCATTATTTGATCATTTATTCATATCAAAGGGTACTGTACACTGTTGAAATTCTACTTCAAAGCAGTTTTTGTTTTTTTACGGGCATTTTCATACATACACACAATTCTTATGTATTTACGTATCTCACACCTTAACTTTCATATTTACACACATGGTACTCAAATCTTTAATAACACATTAGCACTGTTACCACTTTTTAAAAGTCATGCATCTTTTCATGCATAGGTTTAAAGCACTAAAGTGTTTTGCATGTAAATATGAAAATTATGGTATAAGATATGCAAATGTATAAGAATTGTGTGCTAGGTATGTAAATTTTCTTTTTTTTAACGCATGATCACACCCATTTATGATAGTCTTTGTACTCAAGGCTTTATAAGCATTCAATCTAGGCTAATTAAATTAAACTCAAATGTTGTTTTATCGCAATTTTATGCACTATAGATTCAAGCAGTTCATTACTATTCAGATTTTGTTTGAATTCAAGCTCTTAAACACAACTGTATATAGTTGCAATGAACTTTTTTGCTTGTTCATTCTGCTTCCAAGTAATATTTGGTCACGACTGCTACTTAAGTCAGTGTAGTTGTATTGCATCGGTTTGAACAAATACACTTTAGAAGGTTTATTATTTATGGTTATTTATGAGGCTTTATTTCATTTTTAATCTGTTAAGTCTAATTAATGGCCGGCTCTTGATTATTCCCCAAAACCATCATACAACTGGTTATTTATGATTACCTTGTTTTGGGAGCCAACATATCTGGCAAAGAATGAACATAGGCGAGCCCCCGGCCACCCTAATGTGTCTAACCACTCGATCCCGCGATGCAAGGTAGATGCACTCTGGCGTGCTCGAACCCGTGGCTCCATGGGACTTAGAACTGACTTTATATATGCTTAACGATGGCGTCGTCTTCTTCTCCCGCTATCAGCTCTGCTAGGGTTTCGACTCATGGCGATCCCTAGCAACTGTTATCGCATCAGATCAGCCACCATTATCGCATCAGATCATTCCTCGCTGCGTCTTCTCAGGTGTTGTCCCTCCTCGCCGCGTCTTCCCTGTTCGTCGTCGCCTCGCTCTATCTCAACTTTGACTCGGCGCGTCTGCGTCATTACGACGCCGACACAGTTCGGGTCCGCGTTGTTTCTGTTCGATTTCGATGCTGACAGGTTACGTTTATTCGTTCCGTCTGCGCCCATGCTACTTAAGTCAGTGTAGTTGTATTACATCGGTTTGAACAAATTCACTTTAGAAGGTTTATTATTTATGGTTATTTATGAGGCTTTATTTCATTTTTAAGCTTTTAAGTCTAATTAAAGGCATGGTCGGCTCTTGATTATTCCCCAAAACCATCATACAACTGGTTATTTATGATTACCTTGTTTTGGGAGCCAACATATATAGCAAAGAATGAACAGAGGCGAGCCCCCGGCCACCCTAATGTGTCTGATCACTCGATCCCGTGGTGCAAGACAGATGCACTCAGGCGGGCTCGAACTTGTGGCCTTAGGGGACTTAGAACTGACTTCGCAGATGTCAACCAAAAAATCACGGCGAGATGCATTTGATTCAAGTACTAAAAAATGTTAGGGTCTAAATTCTAAAAGTATTTTTGTATAAATTAATAATATTTAATATTAATTTTGATTCACGATGGCGTCGTCTTCTCCCGCTATCAGCTCTGCTAACTCATGGCGAACCCTAGCAACTATTATCGCATCAGATCAGCCACCATTATCGCATTAGATCATTCCTCGTTGTGTCTTCTTAGGCGTCGTCCCTCCTCGCCACGTCTTCCTCGTTTGTCGTCGACTCACTCTGTCTCAACTTTGACTCGGCTCGCGTCTGCGTCATTACGACGCTGACACAGTTCGCGTCTGCGTCATTTCTGTTAAAGTTCGATGTCGAAAGGTTACGTTTCTTCGTTCCGTCTGCGCCCCTGCTTCTCTTCGACCCGACGCCATGCTTCCCGACACATTGTCATTTTGTTTGCTTCTCGCTGCAGGTGATCGCCGGCACCTCCCCTTCTCTGATGGCTCTTCCTTCTTCTTTGGTTGAACGGGCAAATGTTTCCTTTGCCCACGTTGTGGGTAATCCTCAGGTGGAGTCTGCGGTGGTATTCCCCTTAAGCTATAAGGATTGTCGCGATTGTACAGATGATTGCCCTTTTGTTAAGAAGGGAAGTAGGAAAGGTATAAAAGCAGCAATTTTTTTCTCTGACTTAGAAATTTCCACCATGACGGAAAAATTCAAGTTGCTATTATTGGAAAATTTCAGTGGGCCACCCGCCTATGGATGGTAGTGAGAC